AGGGTTACCCATTTTGAATAATATTGCTTGAGTTCCTTGTTTTTCAATGCAGCGTAGTATTCTATTGTGTGAATATACCACAGCTTCTCTATCCATTCGTTTGTTGATGGGCACTTAGGTTGTTTCCAACTTCTTGCTATTGTGAACAAAGCCACAGTAAACATGGGTGTGCTTTTTCAGCTTCTTAATGATTTACTTTACATACAGATTGAATATGTATGGAGAAAGGATAGTACCCTGATGTATACCTCTCCTGATTTTAAACTGTCCAGTGCTCCCTTGTTCTGTTTAGATAACTACTTTTTGTCTTATGTATAAGTTTCTCATGAACACAATTAAGTATTCTTGGATTCTCATTTCTCTCAAGGTTAGCCATAATTTATTTTGATCCTCTCAATCAAATTCCTTTGTATAATCAATAAAATACAATTAAATATATTTCTGATATTCTCTGCTTTTAGTCAGAACCATCTAATCAGCAATTATATCTCTGGTGTCACAGCCTCTTCTGAATCCAACTTGAATTGCTTTACACAGATAACATAACCTTGCTTTCAGAAAGTGCAGATGACATGAAGCACTTAGTGCAGAAGATCAAAAGCTACAGCCTTCAAAATAAGTTATATCTAAACATCAAGAAAGCAAAAATTCTCACCACTGGAACAATAGGCAACCTCATTACATATGGGAAAAGATTGAGGTTGTCAATTATTTTCTTTTGCTTGGATCCAAAATCAACACTCATGGTAGCAGTAGTCAAGAAATCATAAGACACATTGACTGGAGAAATCTGCTCTCAAGGGTCTCTCCAAAGTTTTCAAGAGCAAAGATGTTAGTTTAAAGACTAAGGTGAGTCTGATCCTAGCCATGATATTTTCAATTGCTTCTTTATGTCTGAAGCTTGAATAAATAAGATTAAAGAAGACCTTTGAGTTGTGGTATTGGTGAAGAGTATTGAATATACCATGAACTGTCAAAAGAACAAACAACTTTGTCCTGAAATAGGTGCTCCTTAGAGGCAAAGATGATGAAACTTGGTCTCACTTTCTTTGAGAATATTTTCAGAAGGAACCAGTTCTTGGAGTGATAGATCATCCTGGGAAATGGGTAGGGTCAGCAAAAAAAAACAGAGTAAGACTCTCAACAAGATAGATTGGCACAATGAATACCACAGTGGGTTTGAGGATGACAAGATGGTGAGAAAGATTCAGCAAAGTTGAGATCTGTTGTTCATAAAATCACCGTTAATGGTACTCAACTCAGTATCACATAGCCACAACAATAATATCAGAGGAGTTTCATAACACCGGCCTAAAGCTGCAAGGTTGGGAACTGGAGAGTCTGTAAGCACACCTGGAAGCTGTCTGATGAATTATTGTCTTGCTAACAACCCAAATTGTAACTTGTTAACTTCTCCAACAAACCCTATTTATTACTTGTGAGGTCAAAAATAGTATTCCAATAGATTTTGGACCCAGTAGTAAATTGTTGTTGTTATTGATTGCTGTTGAGTCGAGCACCACTCCTATCAACCCTATGGCCAAAAGACCTGAAGCCTTTCTATAACTATCGTCATTTCTCAGTTCATAGAGTCTCCAGAGGCATGTTGTTTTGGAATTGGGTGCCACTCCTGCTTCCAAGTAGTAAACTAGGTGTTGGAATTTGTAAAAGCAAGAGTGTGGAAACCATATCTGATCTTATGAGAATGTTGTTAATAGAAACTATTCCCCTTTGTGAAGTTATGAGATCAGTCTTGGCTTCCCCCAGGCTGCCTACAGCCTTTTTGCATTGAGTCATAGAGTAAATGTATTTCTCCCTTTATTTGTTGGTAGACACTTGGATTGTTTCCAACTCTTTGCTATTATAAAGTATGCTGCAATACACACGAGTGCATCTATCATTTCCTGTCACAGCCCTTATTTTCTTCACGATAAATACTTAATAATGAGATTGTGAATCAAATGACACTTTGATTCCCAACTTTCTAAGAGAACGCCAAAATGCTTTCCATAGTGGTAGCACTATTTTACATTCCCACCAGCACTATATAAGAGTTCCAGTTGCTCTACAACCTCTCCAGTATGTGTTGTTTTCTGTCTTATTGAACTTGGCAATTGCTGCTGAGGTGAGATGATATCTCATTGTGAACGCAATGCTTTAAACAGAAATAGTGCTCTGAGCATATTTACTAGCTAGCAGTACACTCATTTTATTGTTAGTGTCTCTTGGATGAACAAGTCTAACAAAGTTAGAGAAATTTTCTATGAATAACACCTTCCAAGAAGCATTGCAGAGATTAAAGAAAGATAGAATCTTGTCTGGGTAGCCTGGTGCCTGGAGCAAGACGTATTCTTAGTTCCAAACCTATCCATCTGTAAGCAGGTGTGGAGAAAGACAGATGCATCTGAGCTCTGCTGAATCCACAAAGGAGAACTGTCTCCATTCACAGCATCCATAGCATGTAACCAGTTCTCATGAGGTCTGGCCTGTCCCCATGTTGCTACACCTTATCCTACCAGTTAAAACACAAACTATCCCTCCTAGTGTTCTCACTGCTGTTAGGTTGGATAATTCATTGCAACGGTCACATAAAATTCACAGAACCATACTCGTGATTATAGGTTTTATTAGGAAAATTAACAGATCAGGTCATACTTTATGTTGAGCATATGATATAATTCTTCATTTGAGGCAGCTTCTTAGGCTTTGTAGATCCTTTACCCTTCAGCAGCAGGTCCTCAGGTCAATGTTACGAAGCTCTCTCAATCCTTCCAATTAATCTTTCTCCTGTCTCCCACCTCTCCTTCCACTCTACTCCCCAAATTCCTCCAGCGTCTTTGGACAAAAGCTCCCTAGCTCTGACTCTGCAACAGAACAGTCACCAGTAAACATTGCTTCACATCTCTCTTGGATTCTCCGCTTCGGCTGCTG